CCAATGTCATGATGTTTTCTGCTGCGCAGCCCCTCACTAGGAGATCCTCCGAGAGAGAGCTGGATGGCAGCAAGAAACGGGCCACTTCCGCTGGCGGACTCGACCGGAAACCGGGCGAAGGTCAGTCGATATATTTCTTCAAATATCGATCGAACTACGTCAATTCACCAAAGTTCACTAAATATCAATTGGCAAGAAGACGATGCGAGCACGTTAGCTGCACATCGCATGTGGAAATTCGATTAACCCTTTCAGCGCGCGATTAAACTTTCTACATATTTGATTATTTCTGTTTTGTGTAAACTATTCTCAATCGAGAATTCTCCGGTAGACTTCGTAGAATTTGGAGTATTTCTGAATAGTTTCTGTTCTATAATATCAATCTATATACAAAATGCAATTTGATTCAACCAATGTTTGCATAATTTTATTCTTTGATCTACGTCACGAATATTGATCAATTTTAGCCTTGATTAAATGAATTTCTCGTACGTTTTTAAAACCCAACATAATTTTCTGTATTAAAGTGCGGGCAACTGTTTGTAAGTAATTCTGTGATTTATCACAGCGAGAAGATCGAAATGTGATGTATAAGAAATATCTCATAAAATATAAATATATAATATGAAGTAGCTCAGCAGCAGCTGAAAGCGTTAAAGGCTTTCCGTTTCTCGCATACGATGCGTAAATAATACACGCGTGGTATTTATTTTGCACCATGCACCGGTAGAATGCAAATTAGTATTTACCGTTAATTCAGTCGGGCGTCGAATCAACAACGATCGTTGATGCGAACACGCATGATGAGCGACTCGGAAGCGGATTTACTTCAATGTGAGTATAAATACGGATCGGGATACTTAGTATATATTATATCGCATAACGAGAAAGATCGAGATTAAGCACCTGATTAACGACAGTTAAGTCATCTTACAATTAAATATACGACGGTATTTTGTAAATTTTTCGCGATAATGTTTCGGAAGTCGTTATTCGAGATAAATCTGACGGTACGTTCTGAAGGGATAAATCGTATCGGTGAATTCACGTCCCGTTTCCATTTGCTTGCTCCATTCCTATTTGCTCGAACGTCCAACATATATATTGATGATTGATGTTTGTCGTACAGGCCTACAATCGTTCTTTCTGTCGCGGATTCATGAGGAATGTGTCGTTTAATCACGTCATTGCTTCTAAAATATTTCTATGTCATGTCTATTTTCAAAGCTAGTCGAATAAACGATACAAGGAAGCGACTCGCGTCTTCTCGCGGCTTATATTTCACGTTCGATTCCGATACCTTTGATAACGATATATTTTTCTTAGTGATAATCGATACTACTATTTACAAAGTAAGAAAAGTTTCCATCGCAGAAGATAAACAAAATTTTATGTAGTATTTGCTGTAAAATTCAATCTGTTTACTTCGTAAAGTTCTTGTACCTATTATTATCATAACGTGGAATGCAAATAATAATTAAAATTGTGTTCAATAAAATACATGAATTATTATGATTATGGAAATTAATGAATAGCTAAACCGATTAAATTACTTCTCTGTAAAATTAAAAATTAGTTGAATAATTGAATTGCGTTTTTTGAATTTTTAAATAGTCGATCAAATAAAAAAATATCGTTGTTTTCGTATGTTAAATTGTATGAAATTGCAAAGACGACACCGCAAAGCATAAAAGAACGATTGTCCAGCATTATTAGAATCTGTATCACGATTTTGCCCATAGCGTAAGTTTTATATTTGGTTCTTTACTTTCAGGTTTACACTCTCTATAGCCTATTTTGTGTACACTCTTATGGCAATATTCCTTTAAACGACAGCCGAATTCACGTATTTTCAGCTTGAGATTGGTTACACAAGCGAGTCTCGAGAACGTTTTGAGTCCCGTGATATAAGTCGCAAGTTTTGCTTTTTACGCGATATCATTTATTTTTACTATTACACTGCACACACAGATTGCTCGGATAATATTCACCTTGTAAACGTCACATCTTCATCCACACATTCTTCCCTCTCTGTCCGAACATTCTCTTTTTTTTTTAACGAAATAACATTTTGGAAACCACTGGAAGGAAACGGAAAGTACATATTTCTTAAGATATCAGGAAATAATTTTTAGCTGTTGGGGTTACATTTCCTCTCTGTACTTCTGTACCTCTGTACTCCTTTTTATGATTTATACTTACCGGTGATGGTTCTGCATTGTGAGGTATATGGAAAATAAAATAATAAGGGAAGGCTACATATGTGCGATTCGCACTGTATCTAACTCGCTGATACCTATGCTTTTCCGACTTATCTTTCTCATTATCCCAGCCCTATTTAGAAGTCTTTTCGCGGAATACCTAATATTTGCGTTGCGTTGAATGGTTTGTTCGCAGATATGAGAATGTCCTCGTCCATGTACGAGGTGTTCAATTGGAATTCTAGCCCCGATCCCCCCTTAACTCCTGCCAAGCATAAGAGAGCCAGCCTCTCTCTGCCCCCCACAACTGACATCTTTGCCGTCGATGATAAGTCCGATAGCGACACTAGGCGTCCCATGATTCAGCGGGTTGCCAGTGGTGAGTCCTGATCTCTCAGAAGCCTGCAAGAAAGCCGGGAGAGATCCGTTTCTGTTCGTCATGAATATTGTCGATCCTTTACTTCTCGTTTTATTTAGCACTTGTTCTCGTCGGACTCTCTCCCTTTCTCTTTCGTGTTCTACGCGTGATTACGTCTTTCATTTACTTCACCATACACTCTATCAACGCATGTAACGTTCATTTAACACCGTATAAGAACATATTTCGCGCACTTTCTCTCATTCCGTAGCTCCTTCCCAATTGCATGATATTGGTATCAGGTAGATTTTACGATTTCATCATTTATGAGTGAAACCACTTGACAACCAATATCATGCAATAATTAGTTTGCCTAATCCGTATGCGATTCCTATTAATCTCGTTACTGACACGAACTAACCACTAGACACTATTAATATTTAGTTGCAACGTGCATTTTACAAGCCGAATCTTCAGTTTATTATTATGTTTGTTAGTTCGTAGTACGTTAATTAATACTTAGCTCAGTGTTATTTGTTAATGAATTCATCGCGAATATGATCTAATAGGACGATTATCAGTCACAATCAATATTTTATTTGTTTCATTAAAGCATATACCTCGTAATTTAATGTTTAACTATTAGTTATTAACAATTACATATATAACTTAAATTATATTCGATAATTTACTATATAATTATAGAATTTAAATTGTAGTTTAGTAATAAAAGATAGAGTAATATTATTGCACGTTGTAACAAAGTACGGTGAAAATCTAACTCAATTAATGATGTTACTTAATTAATTTGACGTAGACTTATAATCGTCAATAGTATAAAGTTTATTGCTTACATAGATGGGTTTCTTGCTGTGTTTTTAGAACTTGTTTGATTGACTCTAATTGAATGTTATCTTTGAATGTTTTTTATGTGCTATTTACAGAAAATATCGTAATATATGTATTTTCTTTTAATGTGTATATAAAATATGCACATTAAATACCTATTTGATACTTAAATAGTTACATGTGCTTTAATACATGATTTACGTACGTTGAGAGAATATTTTTTATCAAATAAATCGTTCAAAAAGTACATTCCTTTGTTAATAAAAATTTCTTCTCTCTTCAATTATTTATATCAAAAATATACTAATTCTTTATCACATCGAAATTTTAAGTAAACGCGAATATACATATTATACTTTACAGCTATGCAATTCCGAATAAAATCTCTCTCAGTGTACTTCTCCGCATCATCCCCACACGCCACAGCATGAAAAGCAAAGCAACACAACCGCAAAGAAATAGCAAAAAAAAAAAGAGAGATGAGAATCTGAATGCGACCGAGTTGGCGCGTCAGAGAAACTCTTTACTCGAGTGTGCTTCTCCATCGAGCGAGCCGCGTCGCGTATCCCCACGAATCGACGGACGTCGCTCGTTTCGCAGTACGGGCGACACCCTAAGCGAGATTCTTTGCAGGTGATGATAGCGACGGTGGCACGCCCAGCACCCCGACCTCGGTTTACCTACGTGTGAACAGGAGACGCACCGACCTCATGCCGACGATACCGTCCCCGCGCGACGGCCCGCCGTCGACGGCACGCAGCTCCAGCGCCAAGGCCTTCACACGTTCGCCAGGTAGGACTTACTCCATGTCCAGGCTGGATCAGCTGGCGCAGCCTAGGAAACGCACGACCGAGCAACAACTCGGCACGTTGGCGGAACAACAGCAAAGCCAGCCTCTGCAGAGCGCTTCTAGCATGAGTCGCAGCATGTCGCACTTGGCCGCGCCCGGAGGAGCCAAGAGTCTAAAACGCTCCGATAACTCGCGTAGCATGGGCACGCTACCGGGCGCGGCACCTATGCCCAGACCCACCCGCGCCGAAAGACTACGCCGAAAGGCTCGCGAGTACCAGCAGATCCAACAGCAACAAGGTAAGTGTGACTGTGCACTCAACTCGACTACTTCGAATCCTTCACTAAATCGAGCTTCTGTACATAGCAAAAGTATCTCCCACGATTTCCGAAGAAATAAATCGGTAATTTTTCCATTCTTTGTATTAAGAAAGTGTAGAGATCTATCCTTAATCGTATAATTATATGAGCAATTACAGTTAATAATTATACAATATAATTATAGTTAAACGATAATTCAATAATAGATCACATTTTTTCTATATATAAAAACTACAGTTTTATCAATTTATCTCGTAATATTCAATATCCTCTTTATGCGATATAACTTTCTCCAATCAACATTGTAGCTTTTCTCAGAATAATTAATCACCCGCTTTGTACTAATTTTCTAGTCAATTTCTGTCACTGTATATAGTCAAACTGGTCATTGCTTAATGACAAGCTTCGTAAGCTAAATCGGCATATGGTTTTCGATAAAATGGGAAACGATCTCATAAATCAAAATTGAATAAAAATACAACACATGAATGCACTCACTGTCTAACAAGAAAACTTCAGAGTTGGGTGCACACATGTACGAATAAGTGTGAAAAGGAGTCTTTGTAAGTCAATCGGGATGACCAACTTTATTTCACGGTGTGAACATAAAAGGAAAGATGTTCTTCTAATTTCAAGTCGCGAAATATTAATTATTCTATCTATTATACTTTCTCAAAAATAATTAACCCATCGATTTTCGAAAGTATCGAAAGTCTCTATAGGTACTGTTTAATATTATATTTTGATAGCAGACTCTTTTGTCACTTTTAACATCAAGAACCGGTTGTATCAACAATCTGTATTAAATAAAGGCTAAATTAATAATGTAGAGGAAGAGAATTTAATTAAGCATTGTCAACGCGATTTTGATACAACCGGCTCTTTTTTGACTTCCAAATTGATTAACAAAACGCTCCTGAGGAAGATCTCTCAACGGCTTTTCGGTACCACGGGTGAAGGTATGAGCTAACATCCCGGTAAGCTGCACGTTTTTATACCTTATTATATCGCTATATAACTTATCTTGCAATTCACTTAGTATTATATATGTATATATTCGTATTTGGTGTGCAATTTATTCCTAATTAATTTACTTTTTATTCAATTATGATTCTTATTTTCAGTTTACTCTTTTTTGTGCGATTATAATTTATTTTTTCTTACTCTGTTTGCTTAATATTTCTTATTTGTATTGGCTTATTCTTTTGTTTCGACTGTATTCTTTTCCTTTTTTTACACTCACGGACTGCACTTGAACGTCGGTGGCGGTGCTTGTGTTTCTTGTTCACCTGCTACACCTCACGTTCGTCACAACAACGTCACAAGCGCGATACGATCTCAATATGCAAAGTATGAAAAGTACAAACGAGAAATTCATTTGCACCGCCGTACTTCTCTATCGAAAGATCTCCGCGATTGCGTTCAAGTTTCCAGCGAAAAGATCAACAAATTACTTACCTTGGGTGGGTACGCGTAGGTATCCGCAGCGGCGAAGTGACACCCAACAGCCCGTCCCGACCGCACAGCTCCATGAGTCAACAGAGTGCCAGCAGCGTGGGCAGCAGTAACGTCAATCTGCGTACCCGCACGGCCGCGTCGCGCCGACCGCGGCCTGCTTCTATTGCCGGTACCGGTGTCTCGGTCACAGAGAAACACAGTGAGCATGCCCATTTTACTTCTCCTCCTATCGGTCCTTTTACATCATCCGAGGATCAGCGAAGGGAATAGAAAAAAAAGAGAAATGATTAATCAAAACTGAATCTTCGATTAACGAAGATTGTAGAGCACTACTACACCTGTTGGAGTAATTAGGTCGAAAGGGAAATAAATATTAAAATTATTTTTATGCTACATATATACGTGTCTAAAGACATCTCGGCTTTATCCGAAATTTTTTTCTTCGTATATCTTTTCCTTTAAACAATATATTTTTTTGTAAATTTATATTTTACTTTTTTTACGAAATTTATATTTTATTTTTTAATGAAATTTTGCTTTTAAATTTCTATTCTCAACTTCTTGTATATATTATTTTTGTTCACGACTGCTAGAATTGCACATGTAAATACTGTAAATGTATGTACCCGAGAAGCTTCACATGCGATAGAATAGAAAATATCCCGATCATTCTCGTTATCGCAGATCTGGTGGACTCGAAATTAACGAAGGATTCAAAGCCACCACTGCCAAAGGTCCATAGCACTCCAAAGAAACCTTCTATAATACCCAAAGTCGCGGAAGTGAGGAAGCCGACGGAGAAGTTAATCAAGAACGCCAAGTCATCACCGCGAATAACTCCGAAAGCGACACCCCTGCAAAGTCCCGGAGCTGAGCACGCACCACTCATTCGCGAAACTAACGTGGAGATCATAAAGCAGGATGAGAATAAAGAGACGCAAAATGTGAAATCGGAAGATAAAAACGAGGAAAAGAAGGATCAGGGTAGCGAAAAGACACAGGTAAATTTCAATATATAATTTTTATGTAGTAAAAGATGTATATTCAAATTCTAATGTTCATTTTTTACCAACAGGAAGCGAACATTGTCGAATCTATAACTAATGATACAAAGATAGCGACAGAACCTGTGTCGGCAAGCAAACAAGTCAAAGACGAGACTAATTTAATGCAAGAGAATCTATCAGGTGCTATTGCGGAAGAACCGTCGAAAGTCGCTAAAAAGGAAGAGAACAAGCAGGAGAAGAAATCGCCGGAGATGACTGAAATCAAGCTTGAAGGTGAAGCGGACGAGCAAGTTGATATGTCAGGTATGATTAATCAAAATTTTATCCATGTCGAGTGATAATTTGTCACAAACTCTTGATTTAATGATGAATATTTATTTATATTAATAATTCACTTTACAGCTTCAATGATCGCGAAAATCAGAATCACCACCGAAGAGGAAGCAAAAGCCGCTTTGGCTGAACGTAGAAGATTAGCTCGAGAACAAGCGGAACGAGAAGCGGAATTGGAGCGCCAGCGACAGGTACGTACCATCTACAAAATCAATTTAATATCAGACCAATTTAATTTTTGCATCTGTTGTCTTACGTATAACAATTTCTGCAGGAGGAAGAAGCACGTCTAGAAGCTGAAAGATTACGCGCGGAGGAAGAAGAGCAACGTCGTTTGGAGGAAGAAACTATACGCTTAGCTAATGAAGCTCGAGAAGCCGAGGAACAACGATTACAATTGGCAATCGAAGAAGCTAAACGTCGTGAGGAAGAGGATAGAAGAAAAAGAGAGGAGGAAGCTCGTCAGAAACAAGAAAAAGAAGAAGCAGAACGCAAAGCGAGAGAAGAAGCAGAAAAGTTGGTTTAGAATCTTCTCTTTCTTTAGCTTTTTTGAAAACTTAAATAAATTATATGATGAGTAATATCTGTATATTTAAATTGCAGACAACGAATCGAGATGGCTGAGAGGCTTAAGAAGGAAGAAGAGGAGCGCAACGCCAGACGCAAACGAGTCGAGGCGATTATGCTTAGGACTAGAGGCAAAAATCAAACCAATACGCCTACCAAGGTAATATTAGAAACATTTATATATATATATATATGTATATATAAATATATCAAGGAGCTTCTAATAAATTTAAAAATTATTCAAATTAATTATATTGGAGCAATTCATCTCAACTGAAGTTTACATATAAATTAATAAATAAATTGACAAAATTAAAAAAATAATCTCTTACGACGAATATGTACAGGGAGAAGGCGGTGATGGCGACAAGCTAAAAGAAGACAGCCCTACCGACGAGAATAAACCGATGCCGGACGGTAAAGGTGACGACGTCATGACAGCTAGTTTAATTTCCGAGGCGACTCAGCAATTTATCAGTGGCGAACAACGGGCGCATCATACAGAAAACAGCGTACCCGCACCTGATATAGTTCACAACGGCACGACACATAGCAACGGCATTAACGAAAATAAAATTGTATTGGATAATAATCAGGGTAACGTTGAAGGAGAATTGAACGGTCATCATACGAATCATGGGAATGGTATCAACAGTCAATCGATTACGCTGGACAATGCCACTGTGTAAGTATACCAATTCTAAACCACGGAATCGTAAACCTTCGTCGACCGAGAGTTAAAAACATATGCGTCTCTTCTCGTTAGATCGATGGACAATAATATACCATAGTAATAACTTGTTTTTTGCGGTAACGCGCATTTAATTGGGCATTGAGGCATATAATTTCGACGCGATTCAAAAGCGTTCAAGATCAATTTTAGATGCAACATACGCTGCTAAGATTCAATTTTATTATACGATTGAAAAATACATACAAAAATAAATATATTGAAGGCAAGATTGTAATATGAAGGAGATTAATTTTTTTTGCGTAAAAGCGAAAGTATCTTTTAAGCATGATAAGAAAAATAAACTTGAACAATCTTCTTGTTGTATTTAATCAATCAGAAATTAATTTAATAGTTAATTGTGAAATAATTACAAAACAGATAGGTAAAATGCATCATGCCAATCACTTACGTTTTTATAGGGCATAAGTAATTACACGATACTATCAAATATACTATTTAATTAAAATGGACTGATTATCACAAAGTCACAACAATATAGCTACTCGATCGGAAAAAGAATTTAAACCGTTAAATAAATATCACATACATAAGATATCTGACTAATCCGCAATAAGAGGATCAACTTTTAAATATTGCACGTAAAATGAATTAAACATAAAATTCTTATTTACATAATATACAATAAAATCATCTACGCGTTACAGAAAATTAAGAAACCAAATATTACTATGGCATCTATTAAGAAAAATTTCTGCATAAAGATTTCTTGAGTACACTGTATAATTTAAATTATGGAGAATACGTGCCACGCCAAATGTATTAAATTAAACATTGTATGCTTTTATTTGTAAATAGGTGTGATAAAAATTCTATGATGTAGTGATAAATCACAATGAATTATTATCGCACCATAAACAGATTGATTATTTCGAATTTTAGATTTGTACACATACATAGAGGGGTTCTATCAGATTCCGAACCGGCAAGAGGGATTCTATCAGATTCTGAAATGGCAATTATTTGAACTTGTATTTATGGTTAAATGTAAAATTGTTAGATGTATTCTTAAAAGCTTTATTATGAAAGGCATTGTATATATAATAAATTGTGTTGTTTATAATTGTGTCTTGTAATGTCGGTTAACTATTGAAGTGAATTAAGTTTCAAAGTTATATCGAGTATATATATATATATGTATATATAAAATATATATATATACATATATCGCTTATTTGCTGCAGCAAAGATACAACTCAAAATACTAAGTTTTCTAGTAAATAAGTTTGAATGTTTTGAATCAATAAAATTTTATAGGTAATATTAATTTTGAAATGAAATTTTCATATAAGAACTGATCGTAAAGAAATAAAAGTATGTATATACTTTTAAAGTATATAAGTTTTCTTTTTTTTCCTTTATGTTTCCGTTTTTTTGCAATTAATTAAAGAATGACAATTTTTGAGTTATATATCGTTGTAGCAAATGAACAATATGTACATTATTATAATAAACAGTTATTTAGTAAAAAAGTTTATATACTGCGCTTTCCTAAGACATTTACAGGAAGGAACTGCCTATCGAAATTAATTTCACCGAACATTTATCGCTTCATGCAAATATTCTGAGTAATTCATGCGTATTGTACATTGCAAAAGTAGTCAGAATAACGGTTGACGAGCATAATAAGCACGCCATTGCGACTCACCGTTTATGATATGATTAGTTGCACGATTAGCAACATATTAATCAATAATAACTCATGAGACTAACATTACTATATATTGCGGTGATAATGAAATTGCAAATATGAGAATGTATATTGTATATCACCTATTGTAATAGTTACATATATTTTATAATTGATATTCAGCTATGTATTAACGGCAAATTTACATACTATTTTTAGCTAGATTGTCAAAGATAACGGAAATCGCGTACTTCGATCGTCATTAGGCATTATGTGAACGAGTTGGAAGAACGTTATGTAATATCGTACACAAAATATGAAATTAAGAAAAATATTAACAAAACTGCAGAATACATCTAATGTTAATTCACATAGGACGAATAAATCTCAGTATATATAATGTAAAGAGAAACAAACGGCATAAATCTAATGAGTCATCGAAAAGTTTCGTTTTGTGATTTCACAATATACCAACTCAGCAAGGATGAATAATGCTAACATGACTTTTGCAAAGTAGTAAAATAATGACGTATCACAGTTACATTGAATGCAATTAACATTTTCGTAGTATAATAAGTATATAGCACAATAATTTGTAAATATCATCTTTGCTGAGTATCTTTCTTTGATTTTTCCTCCAATTAGATACTAATAAAAAGTGTTCTTCCATTTATTGACCAGTTGTGTATACCGTAAGTGCGACTGATTTTCGTAACAAATCACCAATGCATGTTAACTAACGTTGATATGGTGTGGCTTGTTCTTTTCCTTGCACAATGATTGTCTGAGTTCCTCATGCTTGTGTGTATTGTATACCAAGCGCGGTATATGTCAACTTACTGCCTACTTTTGCTATGTACTATTTACTTCCACATGTTTTCCGATATAGTACTTTTTCGTGAGAAAACGTTCTCTTCACGCACACCACATCCACAAATCCTACACAAAGGTACCCGTATAGGAAAATAAACGAAAGAAGAAGAAACCAAACGTGGCATGAATTTTCTTCTCTAATATCTTAATCCGACGAGTGTGATTCGATCTCGAATGTGATTCAATTTTTTATGTAATTAGATCTGTATTTGCTGTTTTGCTGTAATATGTTCTAGCAAGCTATGATTATTATAATTACACAGTTGACACGTGTATATCAATTTAACTAACTGATTCCCGTAGTTGTTTAAATAGAAACCTGTTGCGATCCAACAGAATAATATACGTAATATATTAGTTATATTTAAATTTTTTATTCGGCCAAAGGCAGACGAAAGATATATATTGGATACTACAAAGGACCGCAAAAGGTTTTCGACCTTCTCGGTTAGTACTGCTACGCATAAAAGCAATTTCTATCAGACTTCATCGCTTATAATAGTTGTTTATATAGTTACATCAAAATAGTTGCTCCTCAAGACATTTAAAGTCTGTGATTTGAAAAGCAGTTATATGATCAATGACGCAGAAGAACAATTGACGCATAAGCGCTTTATATTTATCTGATACGTTATTTAGTTATTTTTATCTAGCTTTATATCATTCAGTTGATGACGTTTTTTAGATGTACATAGAATCGCGAACTATGTTCCTATCCGACAAAATCTGAATCTGTTCCATTTCGTTTTAGTGATTCAAAAGTTGTTAATGAATCGTTCGCAATCGGCTTAGCTAATTTAGCGGCGGCGATTCCGTGTTAGTGATCGTGAATAGTCGCTTAAGTCGTAGTCCCTAATCCATATGTCTAGCTATCAACTTAGTCTTTGTATATTTTTCATTTGGCTCGTTTTGTAGCAAGCAAAACAACGTGACCAACGACCTGTTAGACCTGTCGGACTTCGATACTCTGAGTAATAACAGTACCGGCTATGATACCGGGCCGATACTCGAACTGACGCCCAATCTGGCGAATGAGGATACCCTCAACTCCAATCTGAATCCGGCGGCGATGCCATTTACCCCGATGGGGTTCGTGCCCGCCACCGCTAATGCCAATGTCAATCCGTTCCAGGACAATTTCATCAATAAGCCACAGGATAACAATCAAGTACCAGGTATGTAAGTCAAGGTCATTGCACTTTTAATCATTGAATTTTTCTAAATAAAGAATACTGGAATCGCATTTTTATAGAACCTACATACTATTATATTATAGTATTATAACTATAAATGGACTTAATATATCATTTTAATTGAAAATACCTTGATAACAGACTCCTGTATAAATGGCGCTGTGTCTGTTTTTCTTCGCAGATCTACTATCATAAGGTGTCTCTTAAACGTTCCCGGGCGAACAGAAAAAGAGCAGTTGGGCAACCGAATTGCTCATAATGAGCGGTAGCTATATTCGGAACGAGACGTTGTTGTTTATGATAATGTAAATAACCGCCGTCGCGCGACGTATCATGTGTAAAGGGGAAACCTCGGTGAAGCGCGAGAATGAGGGCGCAAAGACTATCCCCGTGCCTCACAATCATGCCGAGCTCTGAGCGTCGTCATCGGGAAGAAGGAAGTGTAAAATAATATATGATGTTAATTGATTATTATTACGCAACAGCAAGTATGGACACTCCATCTGTGTGTCGTAGTACGCTATTAGACAAATGTAACTTTCTAAAGAAAGGGGATTGAGGCCTATTTGTAACACATCATTTTCGGATGTTCATTACACAGACATATTTTACGATAACGAATCGAGATGAAATTATTTTTTTTCTCACATACACACGCAAACATACATATACACACACGACTTCGCCCTTATCACACATACATGCGTGTGTAGATTATAATTAAAATTTTTGGGGCGTTAATCAATAGAGATGACAAAATTGGAAATTACGGAGAGTAAATGACGAATAAACATAACACAAGACGCAAAAGAAGAAGAGAGGTAAAATAGAAGTCGGATTAAATGCTGAGAACGTATCTGCCAAAATGATGGATTAGAGAATGTCCCTAACATATAAGATAACGTAGCGTGGTACTATCTTATAACAATTTCATGAGTAGATCTAAGCGCGTTATCGAATTCAACATAACAGACATTCTGCAGATACGAGATGGGGAAAAGTAGATAGAAAAAGAAAAAACTTTTCTTCCATACCAGATTTTGGGGCATGCGCTCACTAGTCAAGCAATCTTACTGTTTTTTTCTTTTCTTCTTTTTATCGCATTTCATTTAGAGGGCCTACTTAACATTGGTATATACTCTAGGTATTTGCTAGACTTCACTATCGTTACGTTTTTTCGTGGATCGTGCATAAATTTTCTAGCTGTGATGACGAAGACGATAATGCTGATTGCTTTGTGAGATAGCCGCTGCATAAGTTAACGGTGAGTGACGATCTAGTAACGTTAATTGTAAGAATTGTTACGCGAGAGATACTATGGATGGGATTTAATTGCACTTTATTCGACGAAGGTAAATACAATCAATACCGCAACGTTAATACATAACGTAATAGCGAATATCGCTGCAACGTCCAAAAAGTGAGTTTTACTTGTCATTATTTGCAACATAAAAATTCTGAGACGTGGAATATATCGGTAGCATGCTTTATATTTTGCGCTCGCCCTATTTCATCATATCATATAGATATCATATAGAATTCGACAAATTATTTATAACAAGAATAGAGAAACGAGCATTTCTGTTATTCTGATTTTATTCGGAAAATATGATCGAGAAAAACATCGACACTAGAGAAATGATAGGATTAGTGTACAAATTGTTTGTTATTCAATTTTTCTCGTACATTTGCGCGCGAGATTTATCTCCCTTTTCCCCTCGCTTTTTACTTTATTCGCATTTTATCATAATCGGCGTAGAGGATTTATTGAATTGATATATTATAAAATTTTGAAATTTTCTCGTTAATACCATTTAAATTCGAGATTTTTCGTTTTTTGCATTTGCGAGTTGTTTTTCGCCGGGAAAAATTCTATCGTTCGCGAATAATCAATATATTTTCTTATGAACGATTAATATATATTTTTATTGAGAGTTGTTAGAGCGAGCGTATTTGTACAGAGTTGCACTCGCGAGTCACTTGTTCATACGCCGAAAATGTCCCGATCACTAAAAGAAAATGGAGCAAGAAAAGCGTATACACAACCTGAAACCATGCAAAGTGACAGATTTATTGACACGTTTTATCGCCCGTTCTCACATGAGAAACTGTTTCTACGTTTGTCTTGTAAAAATTTCAACTGTAACGAACTTGGAAACGCCCGATTCGTTACGACTTATTGTACGAAACTTATTTATATTAGTTCTTCTTTTAAATATTTATTAATCGTTTGGACACCGTATATTACCCCTGCGTCACGTGTACACTTATACTATTTTTATTAGATTTGGTTGAGATTCTATTAAAACTATTCTATAAGAATACCTAATAATAATGGTAATTAAATAGAATACGAGAGAATGTTTCTAAATATACAATAACGAAAAAAAAATGCTAAATATCATCAGTCATGTCTAAAGAAACAAATACTTCATATTGTAAAAAATGCTTGTATGTAATAAATACTTAATACTGAAAAAATCCCAGAATTTGTGTTCATTTTGTATGCCCTTTCCTTTTTGTTCCACGACACTTGTACATGATTATTCTGTTTAATATGCCGCTCCGTACTGAAAAACATTGTAGTAATTCTACCTATTAGGACCAATTGCAGTTGTTGCGGCCATTTATAACGGTGTAGCGCGAATATTTCTACATTTCTCGCCGCCCTATAAACCTTTACTTTACCGAAACTAACAGATCTTCTCTTGGTAATGTAAACTTGCAAACCTCACGCAGTAAAATACGGCGCAGCCTCCAAGATGCATCGTGGATGCAACTCGTCCCTCGAGTCCCACACTCGCAAAAATTAATGCTTGTACCTTCGTGCCTCTCGTGAATACGATGCTTTCTCCTATCTTTCTAACACAGAAAGTAGTTTCCCATACTAGACGTCTCCTCGCGTGTTCCTCCCCTTCGGAGTCTCTTCTTCAATTATTCATTGTTATCTCAAGAATCGTGTTCAACGGCACAGTGGAGACTATTCCTTTGTCTTTCTTATCACAAACTTTTCTTCATTTTGTAAAGCCATTTTTATTATTGTCAATAAAAGATTAGCGTATAGTAGTTTATAAAGTTGCTTATACAACAAAAAAACCAAATATTAAGCTATATCTATATGTGAAAAATCAAGATAAAATATCTCTCTAAATTTATATTGCTTTTATTTTTTATATAAAATTAAAGTCATTGTCATAATACATCGAGTTTTTATAAAATCAATATCTATTAAATCTTGGTTTATGTTAATATTTTATGAAAATAAACGAAATTCAGATTTCTTTGTTATATATAACTTAAACTGCTAGAAAATTTCAAGAGCGATAATAGAGTAAATATTATCATTTAGAGAATAACATGTTATATGAACACAATTTTCAAACAATGAAAACCCTATTTCGAGAAAATTAAGATATACCTTTATGTGAACCGGCAGTCACGCCGTTCAGCAAATTTACACGATGCAATTATTTGCTTGTCTGCGCAACTGTTGTCACGGTTAATGTTAACACCATTAGGTATATAACGGCAACTGGAAAAGCGGATGGAATCGTTTGTTTACTTCGTTTCTTCGTGAAGAAGACGAGGCAAGGAAAAGCTTGCAGCCCGGAGGGTTCGTAATCCGGCGCTTCATCGGCATAAATTAATTAATCAAACGACGTAATACGCAGACTCCTGCGTTATTACGGGCCGAGGAGGTGAAAAGGATCGCCTCTGGGCGAAATGAGGATTTCGGTTACACGAGCAACATCCTGCGGGTTCAACGTTCCGGAAAATTAAACCGCGGCGCAAAATGAAACTTTTACATGCGGCTATTTATCATCGTAAAAATGATATTTATGACTCATTATAAATATACCATAACGTATAATGTAAAACTAAATGATAAATGGACAATCATACTTTTAAAAAGCATTTATATAATTGATTATATATTTTTAAAAGTGTTATAATTTTATATATATTATTTTTTTCTTTTAATTTATTAACAAAATTTATGAGCTGACTAATTTATATAATAACATAGTTCTTAACAGCATATAAGAAATATTTTAAGATATAATTTATAAAAAAATAATTCATTAAAAATAGAATTGAGGAAGCTCTGATGACATAAACATGCTAATTAATTATATACGGTAATTCGAAAGTAAAAAATTAATGGTGTAAAGTGAACCAATCTCTAATCCGACGCAAATAGTATTGTTCGCGCAATTAAGGCGAACGCGGGACACGCAGTAATTCTTCGTTTAGCAAATCCACGGTATTAATTCCGTAAATGAATTTCACACGTAGCCACCGCGCGACGGGAAACACGCATTCGCTTAACGACGGGGGTGGCCCACGAATATTGTAATTTATGAACGGAAGAACTACCTCCTCCTACGTTTAGCTTCCATATGTGATCACGTGTTTTTCCCCTGACATTCAAATTTTCATTCTCCCGGACAGTCAATTACATTTAATCTTTGTCATTGTTACAAAATGTCATTGTAAAAATATTATAATATTGTTCGTATATTACTATCTTACTACCCTTATAGAAATTCAATACTAATACTGGCCAATTAATCACATATTTTCAGTATTAAAAGTACTGTTTACAATACTTTTAATACTCAAAATAAGTAATTAATTAGCCAGTACTAGTATTAAATTTCTATAAGAGTATATTATTATATTTATTAGTATTAAGAGTTACTTTTTTATTACACGGAACGATTTTACTGAAAGCTCTAAAAAATTATTGCAATGCTACAAACAAATTTTGATATCTAGCAACTGTGTTTGAGTTTCCAACAAAATTATTTTCACATCTATAGTATATCAAAAATTTTAGATCTCTTTCAGCAAAATCATTCTTTCCGTGTATAAATACAGTTACATCAATGCATCCTATTTATACAGATGGATAATTCTTATCGATCATCGTCAATCTTTTTCCGATTCCTACTTTCACAATTACCTTTTAGATTAACCTTTTAGATTAACTCTCTTACTTGGTTTACTAATTAATTAATATATTCTTTCTTAATATATCCCGAAGATGTCAAATGTCTGCGCGTTCAAAGAGAAGACTGACGAGAAGGAGGTTTCCAGTTTTCACAGTCAAGCGTATAATCCACCAGCTTTGAACCAGCACATTTGTGTTGCAGTCGGAGAAACGAGCGGGGGGAGGAGGGGGGACAAATGAGGGGCCCCATAATTTGCGGGTTGTAATACTGCGCCCGTCGTTTGTAACCTGTTCGAGACACGTAAGTACAGTCAAGAGAACAGCGCCGGGGAGAGAAGTAACTACGTAACCACATCGTCTCATTGAGGGGGATGTTTTCCTGGTTCTGAAACGGATGTAACTACTACCGCCCGCCTATGTGGCACCCTCAGAAAACGCATAGGGGTACTCGATCACCGCTCGCTTCATTCTATTTGCGAGCCTGCGGCCTTCAAGGTTTCGTTTAAATAATATATTACAAGCAGCTGCTTAACCTTATGCCAACCGGTCCCGGCAAATTGCTTGCAATTACGATCCATCTTCGATTAATTACCTCTTAGGTAATTACTTAGCTTCCGTCCTAAAAATAATCGAAGAAATGAATGAATAGAAAAGATATGCCACACACAATGAGAAAGACTTCTGATTGAAAATGAACGAACCGATATATACTGATCACATCAACCAGAATTCTAATCGTCATAATTGGATATCTGGTTATCTCGATTAGAATTCTAGTAGATTTAATTAGAAAATTTTGATTTGTTCATTTTCGATCAGAATTCTTATTAATGCAATCAGACTCTTTTTTCAGTACGTACTTTTATAAAACTAATGACAAATTGGATTTAGACAAATTAAATTAATTAAATATTAACTAATAATATGAAATCTCATTCTAGCAATTGATCAAAAGAATATTTTTTGATGATTGAAAAACTATGATATAATGAAGAAATTATTCAAGCCAAATAGTATTTAATACAGAAATACATTCTGAATAATTCAAACTTAAAATAAAATCTAATTAATGTTAAATTAGCAGCAAGTGCAAATGAGAGTCGATGAGTCACATGAGAGTGATCAATTTAAAATTTGACTTCGCGAATTTTGGAAGATGCGATGAGAGAGATGTATTCTCATTACCTGTCCGCTTTGGAGAAAATAAAAGTCAGGTGTGAGAAAGATGGGTAAGGTTTTGGGTCTCGAAAGATGCAAATGAAATTCCGCGCTTTCGGTTTAGGGGCATGCTCGATTTAGTGGGTGACTCAACGAAGGAGGCGAAAAAGATGCAACTCGGCTCGAGCGGAATGCATCCATTTTGCATGGGTCATAAGGCCTTCTTGCACGCGCAATGCAGACAAGAGAAAGAGGGAGGGAGAGAGGGGAGAGAGAGAGAGAGAGAAAGAGAGAGACAGGGAGAAAGAGGGACCCAAGACTCCTTTGCCGAGGTTACTGCACTTTGGGGACGAGTTATCCTTCCCATCAGCTACCAGAAATTCTCGCCCGAGTGTTCTCCGAGCGAATTCCCAAGAGAGAAGCGCGAGCTTCTTTCGCAAGGAGCGCTTTTGCAGCTACGAGATAACGCTTTACGGCGATTTAAATTTGA